TTTTCAATATAAGGGACATATGCCACCAAAATTATAGAGCTGTGAAATCGAAAGAGACTGTTTTTACCTTCACATTTGAAAAAAAAAATGCACTTAGGTAAAGAACAAAATCAGTTCTATGTAGGCACATGTATGTAAATAAACAGAAAGAAACAAGTCTGTTAGCAGTTTCCTTTGAGTAGGGAAATAGAGTAGTTGGACTTCCAATTTTTACTTTCTACAATTAGATATTGTTAAGATCCTTTACAATAAAATTACATTTAAAAAGGGAATCCATATAATTCTTAAAGCTTTAGAGAAAAGAAAATAATATGGTTTTCTTTAATTTTTTTTCACAGATACATTCTGGTGATTTGATTTGAGATAATTTCACCTCGCACAGTTTAAGGTCATTTCTTGTGTTTGTGATTTTCAAAGAAGGTGGGGAAAAGCGTAGAACCTTTTACAGAAATAATTTTCAAATATTTGTTTTTAAAGTAAAAAAATTCATCAAATGATATATTATCTTAAATTCAACAAGTGGAACAGATAAAGTTGGAGTTGCAGGATTCTTACTGGTTCATTCCTTGTTCTCTTGGCAAGTGAAGCATACTTTGAAAACCACTTCTATAAATATGCTTGCTCATAAAGGAGGTATTTGTTAAATGAGTGTTATATTTTTTAGTTTATTTTACCAATATAAATGTTTAATAATGCCTTCCATAATATTCTAGAAGATATAAAGGAATAATCAGCTTGCAAATGTGTGTAGGATCTCAGGCAAGTAAAATACACTTGTTGCTATCAATTCAATTATGACTGACAGATTTCTGCAGGATAAAGACGGGTTACACTTTGTTATTTCTTGTCATATGGATAGAATGACATTTGATAGGTAATCTTACCAAGCACTTACATATATTGCTTGCTATTGTTTGAATGTATGTGTCCCTCCAAAGTTCATGTTGGAAATTAACCCTCAAGGGACAGTTAAGAGATGGGGCCTTTTGGCAAGTAAGTCATGAGCATTTTACCCTCATGAATGGGACTAGTGTTCTTATGTTATGGTTTAGATATGAGGTATCCCCCCAAAGCTCATATGTGGGACAATGCAAGAATTTTCAGAGGTGAAATGGTTAGATTGAAAGGTGTAACCCTACCAGTGGATTAATACACTGGATTTACTGACAGTAACTGTAGGCAGATAGGGAGTGACTACAGGAAGTAGGTCACTTTGGTTGTGCCTTTGGGGTATATAGTTTGTCCCTGGTGAGTGGAGCATACCCTTTCTCTCTCTGTCTCTGTCTCTATCTCTCTCTCTCTCCTTCCTGGTTGCCATGTCCTGAACTGTTTTTCTCTGTCACACCCTTCTACCATGATGTTCTGTCTCACCTCAAGCCCAGAGCTATGGAGTTAGCCAACCATGGACTTGAAACTGTGAGCTGAAATAAATTTTTCCTCTTCTACGTTGCTCTCATCATTTATTTTGGTCACAGTGATGAAAAAAACTGACTAAAAGAGTTTGAAAAGAGTAGTGTAGTGCCTTTTGCTCTTCCCCTTTGGCCAGTGTTCATCCCTTCCTCCCTGTGAGGATGCATCAAGAAAGCACCATCTTGCAAACCCCTACCAGACACGAAATCTGGAGGCACCATAATCTTGGAATTTCCAGCCTCAAGAACTGTGTGAGCAATATATTTTTATTACTGTATTTGTGAATTATACAATTCGTGATATTTTACCAGAGCAACAGGAATGTGTGAAGGCATTGCTGGAATACTCTGCGTAGTATATGCATGCATTTAAAAGAGCATCACTATGATCGGTCATTGAATATTATCTAATGACCACAATAATAACTGTCTCCCACCTGTGGTGTTTACCCATTCGTGTGTTGAAAGCATGGGTTCTCAGGCTCATACAGGATTTCTACATGAACAAACATTGCAGTTTCTGGACTTTGCTTAACTCAGGTCAATGCTCTCAAAAGGAGTCCTAGTCAGCAGTGAGGAATTCACAGGCCACAGAGGAGGGCTTAAAACTTTCCTTGACAATTATTGAAATGACGAAGAATGTTTTCCTGAACCAGAATGACCTTATCTAAAAGCTTCAGGTGTGTTAACCACAGCATTGCCAAAGGAAGACAACCACTATGCTATTTACTTACTTAATCTATCACTTTGGTTGGCTCTTCTTGAAGAAAAACACTGTATGATGAAATATGAATCCAGTGCAACTATCCCAAGGTAAGAAGGGGCCTTAGTTTGCTTAATTGCTTTTCTTTCTATTTTGTCTCCCCATAAAGAGCAAATGTAATTTTTTGAAAGTATAAAATATTACTTTTAGGTTTACTGAAGTAAAAATCTCCAAAGATTTAATCTGAGGAAGTGTAGAAGACATAACTTAATGCCTACCTAAAAACTACGTGTTCAGGTATGACAGTCTGTCCCTTCCTTGGCTTTAGTGATAAAATCAGTATTGATCTAAATCAACCTCTGTAACAACATTCCTCTTTGCCAGTTGTTGATTTAGGGCTAAGCTTGATTCATTTTTTGCCAGTGGAATTTATAGGCAAAGCTACTGGGAGTCAATGGTAAGATTTTCCTTCTTAATAAAAAGAAAAAAATCTCTCCTTTTGTTATTAAATACATATGTGAGGGGAGGTTGGGAAGTTTGGGTTATGGATGAGACTGTGTTTCTTTGAACTCTAGCAACCATTATTGACTAATAAAAAAAATGAGGATTAGCTAATCACAGAAAGCAACCAAGGGCTATGACACCATTGAATTTTTAAACAAACCTTGGACACTGTACGGTTTGGATATAAGTTGTCCCCCAAAACTCCCATGTTAATGCAGGAATGGTCAGAGGTGAAATGATTAGACTATGAGAACTGAATCTACCCTAATCAGTCCATCCTAATTTGAATGGTAACTATAGAAAGGTGAGGCATAGTTGGAGGAGGTGGGTCACTGGGTGCTTGCCTTGGAAGGGATTCATCTTTCCCATGGCCCATTTTCCTCTCTCTGTGCGTCCTGGCCACCATGAATTCCTCAGCACTCCTTCACCATACCCTTCTGCCACAATGTTCTGCCTCATCTTGGGGCCAGAGCGATGGAGTCAGCCCACCATGAATTAAACCTTTGGAACTATGAACCAAAATAAACTTTTCCTTCTATAAGCTGTTCTTGTTGGGCACTTTGTTAACAGCGATGGAAAAAAGCTAACACAGACCCACTTACCTCCAGACATCTTGTGTGAGAAAAGTAAATTTTTATTTTTTAAGGGACTTTTGGCCAAAAGTCCTGTCACTACAGCCAAAGTCAAAGTAGTACAAAAGATGATTTTGATTCAAAAGCAACTCTAAGACACTCTGATCAGAGGCAGCAATGAGGAGCTTTTAGCTTAACACATTGCAAAATCTTCTTAAAGGATGACTGATTAGAACACTGCCTTTGCATTGATACTTCTAAAAACTGCAGGAAATAACATTTCAGGGACTAAAAAAACAATTTCAAAGTTTTTGGTCAATAGAAATTATATCAACTGTAATATTATATATAGTTTTTCCCTCCTTCATCCCCAAAGTTCAATTGTAATATTTGAATACTGAATGAAAAAAGTTGGGCATGTAAATGTTTGGTTATTTTTAAATGCCTATTCCTGAAACAACAAAAACAATGTTTCATTTCTTACTTTAACTACTTGTAAGTTTCATTTCATTTCTTGCTTTAACTATAACTTGTAAAATTCTAGTGGTCATTCAAAATCTAACTCAAATGTCATCTTCTCAAAAAGTATTTCCTAACTTTGCAAAAACAGACTCCTTTTAAAACATATATTTATTTATTTATTGTACTGGAGATTGAACCCCAGGGCCCAGGGCATGGTAGGTAACTGTGTTATCACTGAGCCGCATGCTTAGCCCTTTCTATTTTAAGTTGCTCAGGCTGACCTTGAACTTGATGATCCTCCTGCCTCAGCCTCCTGAATAGCTGGGGTTACAGGTTTGTGCTACTGCCTCTGGCTGACAAATGCCCTCCTGTTTTCTCTGAGAACATATTCATTCATTTAACAAACATTTATTAAGCTTTGGTTATTTCTAGCTCTTCCTCTGGTGATGCAGAAGTGAAAAGCCTTACATAGTTCCTATATTCAGAGCTTACAATATAGATAAATCCTTAGCAACCAATATGAAGTGTGGCAAGTTTCTGTTTTAGGCATATTAGCTAGCATATGTTAACAATCAATGAAGTTAATTAAACTTTTACTGGGTTTGTATAGTGTGTAAGGCACAAGAGATATAAAAATGTTTTTTTAGGGAGGGACAGAAACTGATAATGTGTTCAACAAACTAGTTTCCTCTGCTGCCTGGGCAGAGTCAACATTTCCCAGGCTGCCTTATAGGTTTGTGTGGCATGTGACCTGTAGACTGGCCAATGAGATGTGGGCATAAAATAATGTGCTATTTCTAGGATTCATCCAGAAGAAGCCTTCATGAAATTCTCCATATCCCCCTCTCTTTCCCATTTTCTGAAACTAAGGACTCTTAAGTGCTTAGGAGATAGCAAAGCCATAATATAAAAAAATCTTGACTTCCAGAATCACTGAATAGAAGTCCACCAGCTGAACTCCTGCTTGGACTTTACCTGCATGAAAAATAAACTTTTGCTGTGTTTGGTTACTGAGATTTTGGAGTTCTTCTGTTATAGCAGCTGGTGTTGCCTTATGTACTTTAATTATGATGTAAAAAGTGCAGAGGGGAGAGGGCATTGCTGTGCTTGGCTGGGGGTGGATACATCAGGATAGTATGGTGGGAAACAAGTCTTAGAAAACAACTTGGTCATGTAAAGAAACCTTAGAAGACCATTCCAGGCAGAGAAACCATATGAGCAAAGAATAAAATATGAATAGGAAGGTGCATATAGGGAATTCTATGTATATCTGTGTTAATTAGAACACAGAAATGTTTGTGATCTGAGCAGTCAGAAGAAAACGCTAAGTATACATGCTTGAGCTATTACCTCCTAGTCAGGTTAGCTTGGGCAAATTCATAAGTCAGTCTGGACAAGTTTCTTCTTGTTTAAGATGGAGACAATGCCTATGTCTCCCAAATCCTAAAATAGTGTACTTCATAGAGTCCATAGAGATGCCTTCCGCTCCTCTGTCTTCTTTTATTGAAATATCCTTTGAGAAGGAAGCCACCCATGCACATGGTACACTGAAGAGCACAGATAAGGGACACTGGTAAATTCAAACTTCACAGAAGACACAGAAAAACAAATTAGAGAATTGATTTTTTAAAAGACAAAGAGCTTTCATTATGTTTGTTAGAACAGAGAGACAGGGCTGGGTGCAAACTTCATCAATCAGCTCAGTCTTTGATCAGGAACCAGACTACACCTACGGGAATGAACCCATTTTCCCGGTGGAAAATAAGCCACCGAAGAAAGGAGGGGACTGGGCTTATATATGTTGTGGGTGACGTAGTGAGCATGCCAGTCTGGGCACTCAGGAATTTGAGTCCTTGAGTTGGGGATTGGTGGACAGCACCTGGAGAGGTACTGTCTTGAAAGAGATTAGTATTTCCTAGAGACTATCACTTCTAGGTTGGATAAGACACTGTCTCCCCTCCTGTGGCCAATATCTGGGAGGGACTTGTGTTGGGAGAGAAAAAAGTCATCATTGTATGGAATTTCTATCTATTTCTTTCTCCTGGGTCTAACTATTTTGGGGTGTTTTGTTTTCCATATCCAATAATGTTGGCAAGACATAGTTAATAACTTTAAAAGGTTATTAAAAACACTCCAGAACTTATCATAATTGTGGCTTCCTTAGCACAGATGACACATGACTAAAATACTGAGAGCACTCCCTCATTATATGATTGCATACACAGGCTACTCCACTTCCTTGGTACTGTATTACCAAGCTTTGTGTAAAAAAATTGTAAATCTTTTTTTCCTCCAGAAGAAAAATGTGTTCTGTCGCTAGGATTTGTATGCTGACCAAGAATCAGAAGCACACTAATAGGACTAATAAATATTTGGCCATGAACCAGATAGTCAATAATCTCTTGTATTCTGTGAATATTTTCAAATGAAGAAATGTTTCACATTATACTTGTAAAGCAAGAGATTTTCAAGGGTCTGTGGGTAACAAATAAATGACTTCAGGAACCAGGCAGGTAATAAGTAATGTGGAGTCTGTGGCATCATCTGGAGTGGGTCAAACCCAACTGAAGACATTCAAATCACCACAGGCCTCTGGAGCTAATCCTATGGTTTTACCTCCCATCTAAAGAAACTGAGATTAGGGTTAGGTGACTCTTAGAGTACATATAGTAAGCACAGTAATCAGAGTCAATGCAGAAGACAGAAACCACTCCAGATATTTAAGGCAGAAAGAGATTGTACACAGAGAACTGGGTGTTCAGGAGATTGTGGAAGGGCTAAAAGTGCAGGGTCTAGGCTGGGTCCCCAAGAATTACTTCTACAACACTAGTAACTGAACCATTGAGGAATTTTGCCATAAACAAGAAGCTACACAGGGCCTCTGGAGTTCAAGAACACCACTAAAGTTGTGACCCAGATATGCTGGGATCTAGAAACTATCTGGACAGGAAACACAGAATATACTTGCCACCTCCCTCAACTGCCCCTTGAAAGCCACAGGGCTAGTGATTCAACACAGTGACACTGAGTCTGAGTGTCTCAGCTGCATAAGTGCCTCTCAACACCCACAATTCTGAAGACAGGACACTGGCATCTCCTGTACTTTTTTTTTTGCCAGAAGAAAACAGCTATAGGGGCTGGGGTTGTGGCTCAGAGGCAGAGTGCTTGTGTGAGGCACTGGGTTTGATCCTCAGCACCACATATAAATAAATAAATAAGGATATGGTGTCCATCTACAACTAAAAAAAAAATTAAAAAGAAAACAGCTACAAATAACAGGAAGGTGGGCTCTACCTCACTCTCTCCTTGCTTTAGAAACATCAGGCAAGTTTACTTGCCAGACCCTAATTTTTATCCAGAACTCTATCTCAAAGGAAGTCTGGGGGAAATGTTTCTTAGCTTTTTCAGGTTCTGCTGTACAAGAAGGCAAAAGCAAACAGGAATGGACAAGTGCCACCTTTCACATTCACCTAGCAACTGCAGCTACAGGCCCTAGGACTTAGATCTGGATCACTAATTCTATTCTTCTTATTCTATAATTACCTTTTATGGAAGTCCTAAAAAATGATGAAAATGTATCGACAGGGTTATTATTCTACAAACCTTCAAATACTAGAATAAATGCCAGTTTGGCACAGAGAAGACACACAGGTATTTGCTTAATAGATGTTTCATTCCTGACTTTGAAAGAAACCATAAACTAGAATTCCACCGAGAGTACTGCGTAGCAGCACTAACTGTCAAGTGGAGGCCCTTTAGGGAGGGGTGAGAAAATGGAGTTGACTTGGCAAAGGCATCTGCTCTGTGTCTGCTAGTGGTATAGATTTCTTGTTAGGAAGCTAAAGGAACGGGAGGATTCCCGCCACTAATCTTTGGGTGCAACAAATCACAGCAGAGTCTAGGGTGACATAACAAGGGTGTGATGATAAGCTGATACCTGATAAACAAAAGGCCACAGCTTCCACCGGCTT